AGACAGAAGCCTGAAGATGATGAATGAGACTTCATCGAAACGTTGCCTAGATACTTCGAATCTTATGCGGGAGAAAACCCGAACAACCAAAGATCCACATACAAATACCTGCGAGAACCTCAGAAAAATATATATATATATATAATATATATTTATTTATTTATTTATTTATTTCATTCTTCTCCCAGAGATAGCTCTGTTCTTTTCATTTACTTAAATCCTTTGCCAGTTCCAGAAAAATAACTGAATTTGGGGCTCATGGCTGGTGCCTTGGGCATTGGCCCTCGAGCGCAAGAGGGTAACCTCTCAGGGTAATTTGAGCAACCTGGATGGTTTCACCCCCTTTTCTCTCCTCCCAAGAGGAGAAGGAGTGGTGCAGAGAGTAAGAAAGATGAGAGAAAGCTTAGGAGTTAGGAGTCCATTGAAGGCATTTTCTTCAGCAATTCCAGAAACCTGGATTTGGTCTCCTCCACATGCCCGGAAGCTTCCTTAAAGGAGGTTAGCGTGGCACTGGAGAACAGGGACATTGACTAGAACTGGGAATGTGTCATAGAGGAGATTGACAGAGGAACCTCAACCTCTATTTGACAGCATCCAGTCATGGTCAATTGGGAAATGAGATCCAGGGTCCTCCCCTCCCTATCCTTTACCATGTTGGGAAAATAAGTGTGGCTTGGAAATTAAACAACCTGCCTCCTTCCCCAGGGTCAAAAACCACCCGTAGGAAACTGGTTTGTGGATTTGTGCTTAAGCAGGATTTAATTTCTAAAAAGAAGAAAAGAGCGTTGCCAAGCACAAGGCTTGTAGCAGAGCTCCGTGCTTCTTCCTGCCGCTTAATTTAAAAGAGAATAAAAAGGGTTTTGAGGCGCTTTAAGCACAGGCAGGGGGCTGAACTACTCTGTTACTCCTAAATAAGGAAAAAGGAAGCCCAGAGGCGAGACTTGAGTCTCCGCATCATGTCCCACAGAGCATTTCTGGAATGAGCTGGACATTGTTTGTGGCCTTTGTTCCCAGAATTCTTAGCAGTAGCTGTAGTGACAGGGGCATTCTGGGAGTTGAAGTCTCCACATGTGGAAATCACCTAGGTTGGTTGAAACTGCCCAGCAGTGGGATCCTCTCTGTTCCACTACCAGTTCGGACATCGCACGCGTGCATGCACACCTAACACCAGGCACGCACAACCAGCTGAGGCCTGCAGCACCAACCAGCTGAAAGGATAAAGAAGAGAAAAACGCAGGGGCAGGTGGGAAGGCCGATTCTCTTCTTTCTCCTCTCAGCTGATTGTGGAAGATGTTTTCCTCTTCTCAGCTGATCATTGGAGGTTTTTTTTTTTTTTACTACCAGTTCGGCTGAACCAGTCAGAACCAGTAGCATGCCACCACTGAGGCTGTCCCACCTCCCGAGTTCCAAGAATGAAGATGAATCAAACTTCTCACTGAGATAGGATGCAGAATCCCCTCCTTGTCCCAGGAACAGGCCCCAGTTTTGTTTTTTTTCCTGTCAGGATCATCAGATTTGGGCACCTTGGGCACAACCACAAACTGATTGAGCAGAGAGTGGAATGTTAATGAGACAAATAAGGATTCTCGCCTTTGCATAGCCTGGCAATTTGTGACCAAGTGTTTTCTTCATCAGGGGACTGAAGGGTAGGTGGCCTTCAGGAACAACTGACAGTCACCTGCTGAACCTTTTGCACATCGGCCTCCTTTGTACAATGACACCTATATTATATATTGATATTTAAGGTGTCACAACACTCGTTTGTTCTCCCAAGCAGGCTAATAGGACTCTCTGCTTGGAATTCTGAGATCACCTCTCAGAATGACCTTTTTTGGGGAGGGGGGGTGGGGAAGGGGCTCCTGGTGTGACATCAACATTTCCCACAGTGAACACTTAAAGGAGGCCAATATTCTGTGCCTCAGAGGGGGCGCTTCCTTTGTTCACTGCAGGAAATGCAGGGCACGGCTTCCTGCAGCAACTCTTCAGTGCAGAGCTGCCCTAAGCGAATTCAGACCTAACCGTGTCCACCCCTTCAGTCCAAAGGCCTTCTTTTCCCACATAGGCAAGTGGCTGAAGTTTGGGGCCGAGTGGCTGAGTAGGTCGTGTGTCGCTCAGATAGAGCCTTCCCATGCTTCCCAACACGTTGGACACCAGGGCGGCTGCCAGAAGCGGTGGGGAGAGAGCGGCCGAAGGAGGGAAGGCTTGGGAATAGGATGGTTTCTCTTCTTGCTTATTACTTTGTGTGCCACACTAAACTACCTCCACCAACGGTCTTTGTTGCCCACTCTCGTAATTCCCTCCATTTTTCATCCCTTTAGTGCCACCGAGCAGCTCAACTCTGAGCAATCACTTCGAGGGAGACAACGTGGTTTTTTGTTTTTTTTTTGTTTTTGGTTAAAATTTTGTGCTGCGTTTAGAAGATGTTGGAACCATTTTTGTTTTTGTTTCTTTTTTTTCTTCTTTTTTCTTTTTGGCAAAGAAAAAGGTTGTTTTGTTTTCTAAAAAAAAGGAAATAACCGCAATAGACTTTTGTCACCGAGGAACCAAAGGAGGTTAGAATGGGGGTACAAAAAAAAAAAAAAAATACCCCCAACCCTTAGATGTACAGATGGACTAAGGACTATTTTAATACGAGAACATTTGTGTGTGTATGTTTGCGTGTGTGTGTGTGCGTGTGTGCGTGCGTGCGTGTTTATTTTCTTGATAACAGCAAAGTCAAACGCTTTGGATGCCCCAGAATTCCCCAGAGAAGAAAATGAATTTTTTCCCCCCCTTCTTTTGGAAAGCTGGTTCGGTCCCTCTGTGGAAGGAAGGTTTTTTTTTTTTTTTGCTCCTTTGAATTCATTTTGTTTTCTTTGGTCATGTAAAAGATTTTTTAAAGGACAAATATGCAAAAGTGTTTGAATATTTTTTTTGTTGTTGTTTTATAAGGAAAACAAAAATGCTCTGAAAAGCCCCACCTCGCAGCTGTAGGATAAAAATCAGTGCGGAATTCTTTTTTTTTCTTCTTCTTCTTCTTCTTCTTCTTCTTCTTCTTCTTCCTTGGGATGGGAGCGGGGAGGGAATTTTGCTTTGAAAGGATTATTTTATTATTTCAAGAGGGTATTTTTTTTCTAAAAAAGACAAATTTACAAAAAAATAAAAAAGAGGAAATTTACAAAAAAAAAAAATTCAGAAAAAAAAGGAAATCTTAAAAAAAAAAAGTTGAACTTTGGCGGCAGCAAGAGGGGTTTGCTTAATGCTTGTCAAGTTGGAATGAAATGATGCGGCTGGAGGCATCGGATGAACTTTATCCTGGTTTTTTGTTTTGTTTTTTGGCATACATTTTGCCTCAGCTGAGAGAGAGAGAAAAAAACAGAAGTTTGCGCCAGACCTCAATTTCTGCCCTCTGTCCAATTGGACTATTTTTTGCTGGATGTTTTGGACTGATTTGAGCTTCTGTGCAGACCTGTCTTTGCTTCCATGGGGAGGCTTCCCCCCCCCGACCCTCGCCTGCCCCGTCCTGCCCTGGACCAGGGGAACAATAAACGGACTAAGGAATCTGCCGCCAGTGATGCGTCGTCACCTCTGGACTCTTGGACGTTGAATGGACATGTTGCCAGCAGCAGTGCTTCGCCCCGTCCCCCATCCCCGGGATACACAAACAAACACACACACACTCTTACACGCACACACACAGACACACTCACACACACACACAGTGCCTTCTGCTGCCTGCGGTCCGGACTGTGCTGCCGTAAGCCCCCCCCCCACTTCCCGCCCCCCAGTTCCTGCATGCCTGCCAAGCCCAGGTCCACAGTGCATCCGTTTTCTCTTGACCAACTCAGCTGGGAACAGGTGCTTCTCCTTCCGACTGGTGGGGACTGCAGGAAGCCCGTCCCGATTGCCGTGAACCAAGCAACCAAGGAGCATCGAGCACCTTGCAGGGGATGTCCCAGCTCTCCCCCATCCCCCATCCCCCCCCCCGGAGACCCTAGTTACTATGCACGTTATCCCTCCCTCCCCCAGCCCTTGATTGCTGGCTGCGCCCTGAGATTTGCAATAGGAGGAGACTATGTGCAATAATTCAGCCTTTCCTACCTTGTGTTTCCCTGCAGAGCCTCCTGAAGTGCTTTAGACACCTCTGCATGTTCCCTTCCCCTCTCCGCCCC